ATTCTTTCACATTTTGATATTTGTCTTTGTGATGTTAAAAATTTTATTCTATGAAAAACTTATCCAATCTTTTGTGACTCCTGGGTTTTTACATATTTACAAAGGTGTGTCTAGCACATTTATGCATTTGCTTCTCTAAGTCTTCCCTCCTTACTTTGAAATAAGGTGAAGGGCTTTCTGTTTCAGTGGCTGGAAGAGGTTCGGCTTTGAGGAAATGTTCAATTTATCTGTGGTGCCTGCACGTTTCCTACCCATTTCTTTTCTGCAGGGACAGAGAGAAGCAGCCAGCTGTGTGGCAGGTGGGAGCAGGTGTCTGACAGCTGAGTGTAGGTGGAGCATATGAAGTCATGAGATGAATGGCAGTCGCAGAGGGTAGAGTCCGGTCTGCACATGTTGGGATAAAGTAGGGTCTGAAGTCACAGTAAAGATGTTGAAAAGCCGGGCTTCATGGTCAGCCCACGATGGACACCAGGAGAGGCGAGCTTGGCATTTGAAGAGCTCCAGCAAAGCCAAGGTCTTCCTGAAGGCTTGGAGTTGTCACCTTCTCAGCTGACGCAGCTACAGACGCCCCTGTTCTCCTCTGCCTTGGAGAAGCGGCCTGGTGTGCTGCCGGTTCTCGACCCTGAGACATTTGGACTCAGTGGGTCTGGGGTCGCATTTGGAAATGCCAGCCTGAACTCTAGTGCCCAGCCAGGCTTGCGCAGTGCTAGTGCTGGCTTGTGCAGCTGGTTTGCAGTCCCTTGGGGTCAGCGTGGAAATGAGCACCATCTCTGGGCTGCCCAGCACGCAGCCAGCCCACTTGGGGTCCCGCTGAGGACAGGTTCAGGAGGTCTGGGGCAGGCTGCAGACCCTCACGTGCCAACTTCTCAGCCACACTTGAGCGACTTGAGCTTGTCAGTCTCAGCCCAGTGCTGGCCTGAGCCAGTCCACAACATCAGTCGCATGTTTGTGCCGAGACCCTGCTCTCTGGCAGAATTTGCTCAGTGGGCCAGAAAGAGTGCTTGGATCAAGTGACCCGCTTTCCATGACCAGCTCTGCCCAGAAAGAGCTGAAAAAGAAGTTGCTTAGAAGTGCTTCGGTCCCTCACCCTCTTTGCTATAGGGAGCAGACTGAGCCGCATACACTGTAGGCCCGCTGTGTGCTCACAGCCTCCACCCCAGCCAGGATCCTGTACGCTGTCTGGAGCAGCAGTCCGTGCCTTTTCACGAAGACTCACTTCCTTAGGGGCTGGGCCCAGGGCCCTGAGCGACCCGGAATTTAAGAAGGCTGAAATTGCAAACTACAGTGAACTGAAGAAGAATGCAGAGAAGCCACAAGGGTCTAGATTGGAACAGTTGGGCAGACGTCATAGCCAAGGATTTGAGTTGATGCTACTTGCAGGCCTGGATGGGCTGGGGAGCTGGCTTGGGCGACGGTTCTCAGGCTTTCACATTTGTTTTTCTCTAAAACAGCATCCCTCAACAGTGAAGAACAAAGCCTACTTTTCTGCCTTGGATTAAAACAATGGAGGAGAAAGCGTCTTATGTGGAAGTCAGTGTTTGATGGGAAAAGTGCTAAATGCCCTCCTTTTCCCAGCAATATTTCCTCTTTTCATTTTCTTCTTTTTCCTTTCTTCTGCATCACTGAGGATCAAACCTTGTGGTCTGTGCATGTTAGACAAATGCTCTGCCGCTGGGCCCCCCAGCCCTCTCCTTTGTCTACACTTATTTTTCAAGGCTTTTCCTGATTGTTAAAAGATTGATACTGAACAGGGCACATTTCACTACCAATACAGGCTGAATCAAAAACCGTGTGCACCTCCCTATGGATGATAATGGATAGTCTTTGGCACTACCTAAAATCGAAAACGACATATCTCTTTATCTTAACTCATTGGAAAAGAGAATAGTAATTTATTTAGATTTTATAACATAGATGTTCAGGAATTTTTCATTCACTTCTTTTGGTCAAAGGAAATGTGTTTTGCATTGTAACTAGAGTTTTACTAAATTGTGTGTTTCCTTAAGAGGTTGTATGATCATTGCTCAGGTATAGGAAAATACAAAAGAGAACACTTTCTTTCATCACGTGAATTACATTTATTACACACAATTTGGCTGTAACTGTTCTCTGCATATCATCAGAGTTTTGATTTTTTTTCTCCTGTGCCTACATTACTTTAAAATTGCAGACTGCCAGTACTGTTTCTTACAAACATACCCCATTATACTTTTGTTGTTGGTAAATCTTTTACATCATCAGTTATTCATTACGTGTCATAATCTGAATGACAATGCAATACAGTAGAAATGTTCTATTTTTAAATTGCTAAACAATATATGTCACTTAATATCAGGATTATTTTGGTTGCAAGTGACAGAACTGAACTCACTGGGTGACAGAGATGGGTCTTGTAACTGAAAAATTAGAGGCTAGTGCAAGCTTTGGCTACAGTGATTGTAACAGTGAGGTTTTTGTTTCTGGGACACAGTACCTGACACCCACAGGTTAAAGGAGGAGAAGTTCAATTTGCTGTATGTTTTAAGAGGATTCAGTCCATGATCAGCTGGCTCCCAGGCAGGAGCATCATAATAGGAGGTGTGGTGGAGAAGAGCTGCTTGATTTATGGGGACCAGGAAGCAGATCAGGGGCACCAGTGCCGGAGAGGAAGGGCCAAGGGAGCAGACCCAGGCTCCAAAGCCATGCCTCTGTGACCTCCCCAGCACACTGAGGCACGCGTTTCACCAGTCCCTGAGTGGGTCCCAAAGCCAGTCAGGTCGCCCTACCACCCTGCCCTTACTGGGGTGTAAAGTGTGCAGTCAGGCTGCTCTCTGCATCCCACCGCCTTGCGATCCTTTATTAACTTTACTCTCTGGCTCCATTTAATTCTGTTAGTGGCTGCTTGGATTTGTAAAATCTTCCTTGTTCAGGTGCAGTGGAGAAAGAACAAGCCTTTCACCTCACTCCTTAGGCTGATCCTGAAATGTGCCACAGTGGCTCTGACAGATCAGTCGCCCTCCTGAGTCTCTGAGGCCAGTAATACTGAGGCCTCGATTGGGATTGGCCAGATCTACCTGGGGGGCAACCTGGAGCCAGGAGGCCGTGCAGCACTGACCAGGAGGAGGGAATGAGTCCTTGGGGGAGGACTGGTTGTTTGTGCAAAGAAGAGGGTGGAGGTTTGTTGTAGAAGCCAGCAGCAGTGCCGATGAGCAGAGTTGTCCCTACATGTCTCTTTCTCCACCTGAGCCATTATTGAGTTTACGCTGGCTGAGTACAGGATTTCAGTGGTAGAGGGCCCTCGGGGGGAGCTTTGAGGTTGGATGGCACAGGGCTGGAATTTAAGACAAAATGCATAACCTTAACAAAAGAATTAAAAACAATAGTGTTGGATATCTGATAGTTTACCTTATAGTCAAGAATCATATTCAAAACACTGGTCACGATGGTGCGTGCCTGTAATCCCAGTTGCTTAGGAGGCTGAGGCAGAAGGATCTCAAGTTTCAGCCTAGTCTGGGCAACTTAGCATGATCCTGTCTTAAAAGAAATATTTTAAAAAAATGCTAGTGGTACAGCTCGTGGTAGAGCACTTACCTACCATGTAAGACCCTGGGTTCCATCCCCATTATGACCAAAAACCAAAAAAGAATGCTATTTAAGATATTTAACAACATATGGCAGAGAGATGACTTATCAGAATGAGTTGAATCCAGCAGGTCAGAACTGGTGCTGACTGAAGCAGGGTTCCCTAGAGAGTTCTGGTGAGTGGTCAGCCCGGCCTGCTGGGAGGGCTTGGTAAGGTGCTACTCATCTCTCTAAAAATGTCCTGACTCTGTTAGTTTCCCAGGGACCCCATAACAGGGTACCATGCGCTGGGTGAGTTAAAGTGGTGGAAATGTGTTCTGTCTCAGTTCTGGGGGTTAGAAGCATGGAACGAAGGTGTCGGCAAGCTCTAAGGAAGAGCTCCCTTGCCTGCCCTCTCCCTCTCACTGAAGTCCCTGCCATTCTTTGAATTATAGCCGCACCACCTCAACCTCTGTTCTCACTTGGCTTTTTCCTCTTTGTGCCCGTGTTTCTGTATCCAGACTTCCCTCTTCTTAATAAGAAGATGAACCACTTCCTGCTTAACTGTTATGATTTTAATGCTATTAAAATGGGAATGTTTGGGTAATGATTTGGTGAAGAATTAATATTCCCCAGTACGTGACTATGCACATGGAGAAGTACTACTTTTTTACATATGAGTTTATTGAATTTAGACAAATTTTGCCTTAAAAGCAGAGCTGCTTTACAATTAGACATCATGCATTAGTGTATTTATTAGCAATGCAAAAAAGGCAAGAGAAAATACAACTGGTGAAGGGTTGGGAAACCACTTCTTGCAAGGAACAAATGAAAATAGTGGTAATGATCTTGAGCTCTTTGAAGAACAGTTCTGTGGAGTCGCTAGTGAGCAGAATTAGAAATAAGCAAACGTTAAAGGGAGGCATTCGATGTGGCCTAAGACAGAGTTTTCTCAGTGTGGACCGGCGAACCCAGGAGGGAAGAAGAAGGGCAGGTTCCTTGACGTGCTTGATCACCTCCCGACATTTCGTAGAGGTCTTGCCTTGGGGAGAACATGGAAACAGAGGCCCTTCCCAGCTTCTGGAGTTGTTACAAATCCCCTGAACTTCAATATTAACCATGTGGCAAGATACCACTATATGTGTAAGTGCTTTTCAATGCTGCCAACTGGAAGTCTGTCTGACCTTGGTGCTACAGACTAGAAGGACAAAGAAAGCCAGGGGTTTATTCGGTAGAAGGGAAACATTAGCAAATGCGGAAGGCAGGGGAAGGGCAGTGGTGTCTGTCGGGGTGCACTGTGCGGTGTGTATTGGACTGGTCTCTATCTGTACCATCTCATCTCATTTACCGTGCCTGGAGGCTCCAGTTGACAGGGAACTTCAGGAAGCTGTGCTTTCAAGAGTGCCGAATTCTCAAGCTAACTGGCATTTTCTTATGTGTCCTTTGGTGGTGGAACACAGGACTGTTCTGATGGCTACATGTGCAAGACAAGCCTCCAAGCAAAGGCAACGGCGGGATCGCGTCCAGGCACGTCCACCAAGGTGGAGATGTGGCTTCGCGCAGAGGTGAGTAGCCCAGCGCACCCATCTCCCAATGCAATCTCTGTGCAGGACAATTTATGTTTTTTCTGTTTTTATTTTATGGAAAAAAAGATAAAACAAAGTTTCATTAACAAAATCATAGGAGAATAACAGTAGTTAATATATTACATATTGTTATCTTTAAAGTAGTTGCTCAGGGTACAACATATGGGCATAAAAAGTTCTCCGATTGATATTAGCCCAACCTTCCTTTTTAATGAATTAGGAGATACTAATAACTGACTTGCATTCTTTCCCTCTTCCCTGCTGTCCTTTTCCCTTTCCTTTTTCCTTTTGAACAATTTCTTCCCATTTCACAGTATCTATTGTACATTTTGAAACTTATATACTCTTTCAGTTTCTCATACCAGGGAGACAAGACGATGCTTACATATGTGAATCTGATTTATTTCATTTATGAGTATGGTCTCTAGTTGCACCCATTTACATATAAAAGTCTCCAGTTTATCTTTCTTTATGGCTGAGTGGTATTCTACTGTATAAAAATACCACATCTTTTTTATCTATTCCTTGGTTGATGGGCATTTGGATTGTTTCTAAGATTTAGCTATTACAAATTGTGCTGCTATAAACATGGGTGCACACATATCGCTGTGGTTGATGTTTTTAATTTTTCTGGGAAGATAACTAGAAGAGGAATAGCTGGAAAATGTACAGTTTCGAATGGAAACTGTAGTCCTAGTTTTTTGAGGACTCTCCACACTGATTTCCACAGTGGTTGCCTCAGTCTACATTCCAACCAGTAGTGGAGAAGTGTTCCTTTTTCCCCACAGCCCTGCCAGCATTTGTTATTGGTTGGTTTCTTGATAATAGCCATTCTTTCTGGGGTGAGATGGAATCTCAGTGTTGTTTTAATTTGCATCTCTCAAATCACCAGTGATACTGAACATTTTTTCATATATTTAGTTGTTGTTTGTATTTGTTCTTCTGAGAAGTGTATATTCATCTCAGATGCCCATTTTTTGATTAGGTCTTTGAGTTTGGTACCTCTGTACCAGATTAGCTGCCTCCACACTGGTCCACATTGAGAAAACTCTGTCTTAGCCACATCAAATGCTTCCCTTTAATGTTAGCTTATTGCTTCTAGTTCTGCTCACTAGAGACTCCACAGAACTGTTCTTCAAAGAGTTCAAGATCTTTACCACTATTTTCATTCATTCCTTGCAAGAAGTGGCTTCCCAATCCTTCAAAGTCTGATTTTTTTTCAATTCTTTGTATGTTCTAGATAGAAGTCTTTTGTCTGGGGGACAATTGGCTAAAAATTTTACCTACTCTATGGTTTATCTTTTCACTTTGTTGGTGATTTCTTTCATTATGCAAAAGATGAGATCCCAGGTGTTGATTAATAAGATGAGATCCGAGGTGTTGATTCTTTGTAATATTTCCCATGCAGTCTGGGTTTTGCTCGTGAACTGTCTGCCTACCCCTATGTCTTCAAGATTTCTATCTACTTTCACTTCTAGTAGATTTAGTGTTTCTATTTTAATTTTAGATCTTTGATCTATTATAATTTTGGCTTAGTGTGTGATGGTAGACATGCGTATAGTTTTAGTCTTTGGCATGTGGAGAGCCAGTTTTGCCAGCACCATTTTATTAAAGAGGCTGTCTTTCTTCTGGTAAACATGTGTTGCCCCTTTTTCAAAGATAAGGTGGCTAAGTGTGTTTGTGGTTGTGTGTGTATCTTCTAATGTGTTCCACTGGTCCTCAGGTCTGGTTTTTCACCAGTACCATGCTGATTGTATCACAGTAACTTACTAGTGTAATTTCAAGTTGGGGATTGTGATTCCTTCTGCCTTGACTTTGTTGCCCAGGATTGCCTTTGCTACTCTAGGCCTCTTCTGGTTCCAGGTGAATTTTAGTAATGTTTTCTCTAGATCTGTGTAGTATGCTAATGGTATTTTGTTTGGGATTGCATTAAATCTGTATAACAATTTTGGAAGTATGGCCATTTATATTATGTTGGTTCATCCCATCCATGAGCAAGGGATATCTTTCCATTTTCTGATATCATCTACAGTACTTCAGAGTACTGTAATTTTCAATACATAGATCCTTTACTTCCTTTGTTAGATTGGTTTTGGTTTTTGGTTTTTGGTTTTTTCCCAGGACCGGGAACCGAACTCACAACCTTGCGCTTGCCAGGCAGGTGCTTTGCCGCTGAGCTAAATCCCCAGCCCCCTTTGTTAGATTGATTCCTAAGTTTTTCATTTGTTTGGATGCTATTGTGAAGGGTATGGTTTCCAAATTTCTCTCTCAGTGAGTTTGTAGTTTGTGTATAGGAATACTATTGCTTTCTGAGTATTAACTTTGTATCCAGCTGTGCTACTGAATTTGTTGTTTGTATTAAATCTAGAAGTCTTTTGGTAGAATTTTGGGGGTCTTCTATATAGAGTATCATGTCATATGCAAATAATGATAATTTAACTTCTTCCTTTCCTATCTTTATTCCTTTTATTTCCTTCTCTTGTCTAATTGCTCTGGCTCATGTTTCCAGAACTATATCAAATAGAAGTGGAGATAGTGGACATCTTTGTCTTGTTCCTGATTTTAGAGTGAAAACTCTTAGTTTTTGTCCATTTAGTAAGATGTTGGCTGTTGCTTTGTCATAGGTGGCTTTTATCAAATCGAGATAAAGACCATCTATTCTGATTTTCTGTAGGGTTTTTATCATGAATGAGTGTTGGACTTTGTCAGAAGCTTTTTCTGCATCAATTGAGATGATCATGTAATTTTTGTCTTTGCCTCTGTTGATATGGTATATTACATTTATTAATTTGCATATACTGAATCATCATTATATTCCTGGGATGAATCCTATTTGGTCATGGTGTATAATTTTCTTGATGATTTGCTGCATTCTATTTGCTAGTATCTTACTCAGGAATTTTGCAAATATATTCCTGTAGTTCTCTTTTTTGGTTGGGTCTTTCTCTGGTTTTGGTAGCAGGGTAGTACTTGCCTCTAGGAATGAGTTAGGGAATATTACTTCCCTTTCAATTTCATTAAAGAGTTTAAGAAGATTGGTATTAAATCTTCTCTAAATTTCTTGTAGAATTCGCTGTGACCCATCAGGACCTAGGTTCTTCTTTGTTGGTAAATTTTTAATTACATTTTCAGTTTCATTTACTGATATTGGGTTATTCAGAAGTTTTATATCTTCTTGATTCATCTTTGGTAATTTATATGTTTCTAGGAATCTGTCTATTTCTTCTGTGTTTTCCATCCTATGAGAGTAAAGATTTTCAAAGTAGGTATTGATTTTCTTCTGAATTTCCCCAGAATCTATAGTGATTTCACCCTTTTTATTCCTCACTGCATGAATTTGAATCTTTTCTCTCCTTCTTTTGATAAGATTGGCTAAGGATTTATCAATTTTATTTATTCTTTCAAAGAACCAAGTCTTCAATTCATTAATTCTTTGTACTGTTTTCTTAGTCTTAACTGCGTTAATTTCTGCTCTGATCTTTATAATTTCCTCTTTTCTACAGGCTTTGGTCTTGACTTGCTCTTCCTTTTCTAGAAGCTTGAGGTGCAATATTAGGTCGTTTATTTGTGCTCATTCTGTTTTGCTGATGTGAGAATGTAGTGCCATAAATTTTCCTCTTAGTACTGCTTTCATGTGTCCCACAGGTTCTGGTATGTTGTATCTTTATTTTTGTGTAATTGTAGATATTGTTTTAATTTCTTCTTTAATTTCAGCTGTGACCAGGAGGGAGTTACTTGATTTCCATGTGTTTATGCAATTTTTGTGGTTTATTTTGCCCTTAATTTCCAATTTCATTGCACTGTGGTCAGATAATATACTTGGGACACTTTCAATTCTTTTGCATTTACTTAGGCATGTTCTGTGGGCTAGTATATGGTCTATTTTGGAGAACGTCCCATGAGCAGGTGAGATGAATGTGTATTCTGATGTTGGGTGGAACACTGTAAAATCTACTAAGTTCATTTGTTCACAGGTTTGGTTTAGTTATGATATTTCTTTGCTGATTTTTTGTTGTTGTTGTTGTTGTTGATCTACCTATTTGTGACAGTGGGGTATTAAGGTACCCCATTACAATTGTGTTATTGGTCACTTGATTTTTTCATGTCTATTAATACTTGTCTTATATAGTTGGGTGCTCCCATATTTGGCATATACATATTTTTGATTGTTTTTGCTGTCTCTCGAAGTTTTGACCTAACAAGTATGTAGTGACGTTCTTTATGTCTTTTGATCATTCTTGGTTTGAAGTTCACCTTGTCTGCAAACAGAATAGCTACCTCCGCATTTTTCTGGTTTCTTGTTGCATGGAATATTGTTTTTTATCCTTTGACTTTTAGTCTATGAATTTCTTTTTGAGTTAAAAGCTAATCTGTGAAGTTCTTTTTGAGTTTCTTGTATACAACATATTGTTGGATCTTGTTTCTTGATCCATTATGCTAGTCTGTTTCTCTTGATTGGTGAATTGAGGCCATTTACATTGATGGTTATAACTGATATGTATTGGCTTATCTTTGTCATGATATTTTCCTACTATGGGTTCCCTGCTTTTCCCCTCTGTTTAATTGCTTGCTCTGACTGGTGGTTTCCTTCTGTTGTTGTTCTTAGAATTGTGGTTATTTTTATCTCTATCTAGAATATCTTTCAGTACCTTTTGTAGTGTTGATTTGGTGGTCATGAAGTTCTTCAGTTGTTCTTTGTCATGGAGGTATGTTATTTCTCCATTAATTTTGTTCCATTTACTACGCATCCCTGTGGTCTTTGTCTTGTTTCTGGTGATTCCAGTTAGTGCTCTGGTTGTTCAGGATAATTTAAACATGTAAATGTTTAGATACATATATGTTTTCAAAGATCAATGCTAATGGACTCTGGGCTAGTCATTGGGAAAGAAGTGGACATTTGGAAAGATTGATTTTTTTTCTATAATACTGAAAGTAGGAGTTGTGTGGTCCACTCCAAGTCTACTTAGTTATATTAAACA